CATGAACCGCTGCCGGCCAGAAGGGGGGACTGCCCCACGTTTGACACTCACACCTTGTCTCTGTCTGATTACGCCTGCGGGTCTCCTCCGGCCGACAGGGATAAGCCGGCCAGCGAAGGTGCCTTCTCTGAGCACAATGGAGAGAATGAGGCGAGCGGAGAAAAGCCACAGATTGATCCAAGTAAGTGCAACTGGGAGGGGGACGGTCTGCCGGGCTCCCCGCAAGCCGGGGGCTCAGTCTGGCCGGTTGGTCGATGTCAGTGCTCGGCGGGGAGGGAGAGCTGGCAGGGGACCGTGCGTGTGTGAACCCTGCGCCTGGGAGTCAACCCGCCTCGCTCGGCCAGACGGGGTTTCCTTGGGCACGCACTTTTGGGAGCCCCTGATTGCGCCTGGGCTCTGCTGTCACGAGTCTGCTGCCAAAAGCAGCGCAGGGTGGTTCCTGTACGAGTGAGCAGCAGACACCTTCTACCCTGTCCCGCTCCCACGCTTTGGGCTCCCACGGAACAATCGGCTCCGCGGTAGCGCTCAAAATAAGGCGCATGCAAATCAGGCGCCTAAGCAATCCGGGCTTTAATTGAGCCAGCTGGGGAGTGACTCGCCCTCTCCTGGAAGCCTCCGGGTGGGGACACGGGAGAAGGTCAGGATTAAAACCTGAACCGTTTGGCCCGGTGACAGTGTAAGCCCACTCGTCCTGCTGGGGCTGCGCGGAGGAGGGACGGGCTATTTTAAAATCCCAATCTATACACAATATCGAGGCGAGAGGAGGCGGGGGCAGGGCTATTGCCGCGTGCGGTTCTCTGTGACCTCTCCATGTGTCTGTATTTTGATGCCATTGTGCCTAGCCATCCTGGATGTCTGCTGAAATGAAAGGAATGTCGTAAACCCTCATATCAGGCTACCTTCGCTCCCGGAGCCAGGGCACCAAACTCTGGTGGCGCGACGTGGCTTCCTCCCTCCCCTGAACTTCTCCTGCTCTTTCCTCGTAGATAATCCAGCTGCGAACTGGCTGCACGCAAGATCCACTCGGAAAAAGCGGTGTCCGTACACCAAGCACCAAACGCTGGAACTGGAAAAGGAGTTTTTGTTCAATATGTATCTCACTAGGGACCGTAGATATGAAGTGGCGCGACTGCTTAATTTAACGGAGAGACAAGTGAAAATCTGGTTTCAGAACAGGAGGATGAAAATGAAGAAAATCAACAAGGACCGAGCAAAGGATGAATAATGAGGACACACAGGTTACTCTTTTTTTTAAAAAAAAAATCCTCCCTTTCTCCCTCCTCCAACCCCCATCACACAGTGCGGCTGTGCCCAGGCCTCATTTTGTTGTCCTGGCGAATTCTGATCGTTTATGTACCTTGTAACAGTAGCAACGAGAAGTCGGTCTGTTACAGTGCTACTGAGGCGGTACCGTAATACTGTTAATTTTGTAATAGGAAAGAAAAAGGGGGCATTAGGCGAAAGGCTGTTTGGGGGCTTGTATAAATCTACCTGTTCCTTCACTTTCAAAGAAACAAAAACAAAACAAAAAAACTACCTTTTCGTAATGCACAACTATTTACGGACTGTAGAGTTTAGACTATGTAGCTAATTTTATTTGCCCTTTGCGCGGCAGAGAGAGGTCTGCTGTAATACTTGAAGACTGTGTTTTATTGTGGTAATTATGTTTGTGACTCAACTTATGTGCTTGGGTGCTGTACCAGATGTGATTGTGTAAGCTAGAATTCAATTGGAACTCAGGTTGTTTATTATAAAAGTTGCATAGAGTATAGCTCTGTAGTGTAATAAGTCTTATTCTGTATAACTAGACAGTTAACCTTTGATTGTAATACATATCTACCTATCCCATATATATATATATTATATATATAATATATAATATATATATACACATACACACACACTTAAACAAACAAAAGTAATACAAATCTGCAGGTTAGCTAATTATTATGGATCTCAAAAACTCAAACTATTACGAAGCAGGTCATGTTAATATGAAAAGGTGATATATATAGTACTGTCTTTGTCAGCTGTATAGATAATCTATATACTAAGGTAAAAGTAAATAATCAAACTAGCTTAAATATTGTTTTTGCACCAGTAAGCAGTTATCAGATTTTCGGAGCTATACGTATATGTGAAAAGGGTAACTACCTATGGTTTACGTTTTAATTTTAATCAAATAATTTGAAGCTTATTGTAATGAAGTTTAATTTTATTGATAATAAATTATACACTATAAAAAGCTACGTTTGGTTAGTGTAGATTTGTATCGAGTATAAAAATCTGGGAAGTTATGTTTATGCAGAACATACACTGTATATTTTGCAATAGTTACCTCATGGCCTACTGACCAAATTGTTGTGTTGAAATGATATTTAACTTTTTGCCAAATAAAATATATTGATTCTTTTATATTTTGTGATGTTTGAAGATTATTAAGAAGGCGCTCATCTTTATAACCCAATATACCAACTGCATGAATAGACAACTGTCGTGCGAATAGGTATTTCTTTGATGCAGGTTACATGTGCAGATATATGAGTGCAAAACCTGTATAATAATATGTACTAACTCGCTTTGTTCAACCTAGAGAGCACATAAAACACCCGGATACAATAATATAATCCAATCCTTTTAAGATATTATGAGGTGCATGCTTTGGAGTTAGGGCATTTTAATAATTTGTTTTAAAAAGAACAAGACGGAAATGGTCAAGACTAGTTAGAGGGACAACAATGTAAATAGATTAAATATCTTTATTTGAGCTTGGACAGTAAATTACCTCACTATAAATTGGACGTAGATAAAATGGCTGCAAAAGGTTTGAGAAAGGCTTGCTTTGCCAATTTATTAATTTTAAATCCCCTTCCATATATAATGTAACATACAAAATATGTCATGTAAGAAGTTTTGCCATCAGTTATTTTTCTTGCCCTTTATTTGCATCTGCAAATTTACCTCGGACGTGAGTTATGACACGTAAAATCAGCACACTGCATTTTACTCTCTCACAGGGTAAAAGTTTGCAGACAAGAATTGTGAATGATCATTTATGAAGTTAACTTTGTTCGTTGTTTTAGTCCAACTGAGGTGTGCCTCTCCACGGGCTAGTTCAGAACAACGAAGTGCCTTAAAGAAGGCGGAATGAATTTATATTTCGGGTGAAAGTTATTCCCTCCTCCCTCCCCAGATGAACAACAAAACCAAATAGCCAGGATCGTGAGCCAGCTAAAGGTATCCCTGTTTTAGGCCGACATCTTACCGCTCCGCGAAGGAATCCCCCCAAATACGATCCAGAACACGCGTCTGCTCAAGAGACGAGCAAACCATATTTGTAAATATGTAGAACAAACGCTGGGAGAGTGTATTTAAGGCAAAAAGTCGCCAGAACATGGATAGTCACAAGTCTTGGCAGAAGATGTTGCTAGGAAAATTCAGAGCCATACAGTGCAATAAAAGAAAATGACTGCTGTAACCGTTTATGGGGTGTAAAACGCTGCAGGGTTAAAGACAAATTTTAAGGAGTTCCAAGAAGCTTGCAGATGTGCAAAACGGCGGAAGGGAAATCCTTCAACCTCAATTCTTCTTCTTTTTTAAAGAACTCGCTGGTAAGTTTTGATGTGTTATAATTAGTAAAAGGGAAATAGTTCTGGTGCACACATATACACACAGAAATAAAAGACCCTAATTGATCCCTGTTCTAGTGTTTTGGGATGTTGGGACGCCCTCTGTTGTTGCAGACAGAGGAAACTTCAAAGAATCAGCATTACGAGTGTGTAATAAATGACGGGTCTGCAAACTGTCTGGAATTCGGTTCTTAATGAGTTTACAACTGTCCAGCCACAATTAAGATTTTCTACAAAAGCCTTTTCATTTGTTTTGTCTGGCTGCTTTAGATAAAGCGGGTGTGCGGAAATAGCTACCTTTTATTAGCCTTCCTCTTCTTAAATCCGAGCTCGAAGGCGAACGTTTATCTTTAATGTCTTTGCGACTGGAAGAGTTTGTATAATTGCTTCTCCTTTGCTGCGCCTAGCGAGTATTGAAGTCTTCGTTGTCGGAGGCGTAAACTGTTAGCAAACTGAAATGCTCCTGTATCAGTTATTATTTGCAATGTCCCAAATAGAACAGCAGATGGCAGTATGATTCCATGAAAACATTTACAAACCCGCCATGAAGCAGGCTGCAAGATGACTTGAAAGCTCCTAAAATGTCGACTTTATAGGAGAATAACTGGATGTGAAACAACTGATCTGATGTTATCCAAGGTCAACAGTTCTTACTCTGGACTTTTTATGAATGAGGCATCATTGAAAAATGATATAGTTAGTATTAGACTTGCTAATGCAGTAATTGAGAAGGTAAAGTTTCAAAGTCTCCGATTGTATCAGATTATTCATTTTTGATTATCAAAGCATTTCTAAAGAGTTAACCGATGACGCCGTGGTACACTATTCAATTTCCTTTTCACGTTTCATTTTTTCCCTAAAAGTATTGGATACTTTATCATTAACCCATAATGTGCAAGCAAAGTATTCTGATTTCATTCTGGGCTCATGAGGACGTTAATATTTTGGAGAAGTGGGTCTTTGAAGGGCATTAACCTCCTGAGTCTAATGTCATTTCAAGTTCTGGGGAGGGCGGTGGTGTTTTTCATAAGTCCATAATGAAAAAGTCCATAATGTGAATTCACAAGATGTGGGCTTTGTACGAGAAACGAACAAAGAATCAACTCATTGCCGAATGGAATTAATCTCACTGAACATAGGACATAACCGCGTGCACTAAAGATACGACAAGGTTGCAAATTTTAATTTGAAAATTATTTACCGGCAACTGGAATTTTTTCAGCATCTGCCTCTGATACAGAGGAAACAGTGCTTGGGTTCTTAGCAATTACAGCGCTGTGGGACCCGTTTAATTATATTCTCCACATGAGAACAGTCTGATGCGCTGAAGGCTTAAGATGCCTCTACAAATTCATTCTTAGCGTCTCCGTGCCTCTTATTTCTATGCCTTGGCTTCATTGTAATATTTATCCGTTTTAGTTTTGTCGGCTACCTTGTTTCTCGCCCACTGCTTTAAGGGCGCAGTTCAGCAGAATTACTTTATTTTTTTCCCTCGAATCACTCGTCAAAATGAGAGGAAAACTCCCCGAAAGAAAAATTAAAAAGGGCCCCCATAAAATAGGGTAAAAATATTAGCGTTGTATCCTTCATTTTAACGAAACACAAGAAAAAGACCAGCGCCTTAGTAGACGCCTCACTTCAGTATTTTTAAACGTTTTGTCGTTTCTTTAAATTAAAGACAATTTCTTGAAACCATTTTTCAGAATCAGCAAGGGATGTGAGGGTTATATCATTTTTTCTCCGCATCGTTTTTAGTATAAAAAAATAACGGAAATCGAATCATTATTTTCTCGGGTTTATAGTAAAGGAATTCACATCGGATGTCAGCGGACGTTCTTATTTTAAAATGGTGATTTGATTACTTAATTCGTGCTTCTGTATTTCAAGTATAGTCATTTGGCACGGTCTGTTCCACTGTCATGTTGGATATTTAGAAACAACAAAGTAGTGCCCGAGGTCCCAGTTACATCAAAATATTGCCTAACACGCAAGCAATAACTATGCAGCGCTCCCAGGTCGCTCCTGCGAATCTTTTTGTCAGCACCTTTCCCATTCTGGGCACAGCGAGCATATTACACAGTCCAGCTTTTTAATAGTGAAAAAAGGGGGGGGGGGCGACCTAAGGTCTCTTTAACACATAGAAGCATATTGTGATAGCCGAACGCTTGCATTTTACTTGTCCATTATTTTTGTCTTTTTGTCTTGTAATAATTCATTACATTGGAAAGTTGCAATTTGAGAAATATACTAACACCTTACCCCGTGCTGTATAGAGTGCAGCAGACTGACATGTTTCAAAGTCTATGTCAGAGGTAGTATTTGAAGGAGGCTTTTGTCGAATAGGTGCGGGGAAAAAATTCTTTCCTGGGACTCCAGGAATTTCCTGGAAAAACACTTTCCTGGGACTCCTGGTCCCTTCCTCAGTGCGAAATTCGTCTGAAATATTAATATTGTTTACAAGATGTAACATTAGAAAGATGAAAGGACAATAATCAAAGGTGGCTTTTAATATCCTGATTATTTAAAAATACCTTTTAAGAAGCAAGACACACTTAAACGTGCTCTTTAAGACTCGTCTATAAAATCCTGTCTTGCATTATCAATACCCAAGTCTAGACATTGGTTATGTTTACTGTTTCTTTCTTCTTGCATCTTGGTATGTTGTCACCAGAGGAGCAATTTATTGGTGTAATGCAGTCTAATTCAGCCTCTTTGATCTTCGGAGTAGTCTTCTTGGTTGCTTCGCATTCGTTTAATTTCTTGGGCCTTTATTTCTTCTCAGGAAGCGTTTCTGTTGAGATTGTGATTCTTGTGGGGTTTTTTTGTAACTAACTGTAACACTGAGTAATATTTATGAAATAAGGAAGCTGTTTGCTCTGATGCTGGCTTTAGGTTGCGAATAATACACGTTTGTACATATGTAGCTGTTGGCAAACAGCTAAACGTAGTCACAACATTTGCATGCTCTTAAACACAAATACCTACATGTCTTCGCTGTAGTCAATTTCACTTGTTTCTCTCCGACCCCATATGGAATCGTTGCAATATTCGCACGGGAGCAGCCCTCAAGAGTTCTTTCCTTCTCCCCCCTCCCCCCAGGCTTTCAAAACCTGAACTCTAGGGTCCGTGCGAAATATCGCCAAGAACAATTTTAACTAGTGAGAAGTTCTTTGTACACAGGGCATTAAACTCTATAATTTAAAGGAGAATTTCCGGGGCAATTCCATTGTGCCTCTTCCAGTTTATGATGTGCAATATAGCAGGGCAGTAAAAGCTGTCTTTACCAGGACTCCCTGTCTGAGAGAAGGAAACCCATTTTATGATCCGTTTAAAGGAAGGGTACGGTGCAGCATCCTCAATGGAAAGTCTTCTTATTGTTGGAAAGTGGAGTGTGTAGAAAATGAGGAACGTTACCCGTGACTTAAATGTAATGTTGCTGTCTCCTTCGGATAGTAAGGTATGTACATTGAAGGTAAAGAAGGCGTTAAACAGTGACCTACGATCTGAAGCCCTACATGTCTGATTCCAGGACTTACCAGTTTTTAAAAGGTGTTCAGACGAGAGGTGTCCTCTTGGTTTCAAGGGAAGGGGGAAAGAGGAATTATTTTGCTATTAGACGGAGGGAATCCGTCAGGAATGCAATCGCGACATTACAGATTTAGCAACCGAGTATTATTTATAAAAAGCGTGGGCGACATATTAATTCACCTTTGAAATCGGAAGATATGGACTAAGGTCCCCACGCAAGGTTCGGTAATGTATGCATGTCATCAATATCACTAGCAATATTCTTTCAGAATTGTTAGCCATCGCTCGCTCCCACCTCTGAGAGACACTGGTTTGCAAAAGAGTTAAAAGCGTACTCTGTTGCAGCCCCATCCTGATTCATCTAGCCGAAAGCGATTAGCGGAATGTAATATATCAATATCTCAGTAAATCTGTTAGCAAATTAGGGAACGTAATATATACTTGTTTCACTACGGCAGAAAAATACAACATGCGTGAGTAACAGAATTATTTTAACTTCTGTGTGTGTATGTGAAACAAGAGAGAGACACATGGTTTCAGTTTACTGCGGACACAGGATATTTTCCCCCAAACACTAAATATTGATCAGTTGAGCATTGTAACTTTGATTAAATTGGGGTTGGGGGGAGAGAAGCGCCTACGAATATTATGAAGTAGTCAGATGCTATTCGATCGCGACTTGGACTTAAAAAAACAAAAAGAAAAAAAAACAAAAAATAACGGAGACAGGAAGAAATATGTGCCTAGCCATACCTAGCTTTTCTAAAGCAATACAGCTCTGGAATAGGGAGATCTGCATCGCACAACATACGGCTTAAGTTTAATCACAGAACCAAATAAATCTCTGTTTATTTACTTACTCTACTTTATAGGGATCTTATAAAATATCATCTACCATGTGGCTCCCTTAACCAAAAGCCCTCTTGTCTTTAATTTGTTAGACATATATTTGATCCTCTTCCCCTTCCATTATAGGACATTGTGAGACACCCTGATCTATACCACCTGTGATGCAGGAGGAGATTGGAGGATGGGGTCATATGACTGGTCACGTGCTGGAGGCAGCTCAGTCCAAAAGAAAATGGGGTTTGGTGTAAATCTGGGGGTGTAATGTTATCATATATCACGCTACCTCGTAAAACCGACACGGAAGCCTACCGGACAACAAATCACAGGTCAAAATTATGAGTTCTTCGTATTATGTGAACGCTCTTTTTAGCAAATATACGACGGGGGCTTCTCTTTTCCAAAATGCAGAGCCTACTTCTTGCTCCTTTGCAACCAACTCTCAGAGAAGCGGCTATGGACCAGGGGCTAGTGCTTTCACCTCCTCCATGCCTGGCTTGTACAATGTGAACAGTACCATATATCAAAACCCGTTCTCTTCCGGATACAGCCTGGGCTCAGATGCCTACAACCTGCATTGTTCCTCTTTTGATCAGAACATTCCCGTCCTCTGCAATGATCTAACCAAACCCAGCTGTGAGAAAGCGGAGGAAAGCAACCTGCACAGCCAGGCTGAGGCTAATTTCCGGATATACCCCTGGATGAGGTCTTCAGGTATGGGGAACGGAGAGGGCAAAGCGATGGCAGCCAGGCAAATGTGTAGCCGAAATTACTGTCAGCACAGCCTTTATGGTTTTAATTATAGCAGAGGCGCCATTGCGTAGAAAGCCCGTGGCATTGTATGTAAATGAGTATCATAAAACTTTTTATTGCTCAATTAATGGGTTCTAGCCTCGTAAATTTATTTAAGTCAATTTGCTGTGGAATTTTAGTATTAAGTTTATTTGTTCGGTTTGCTAGAGAAATATCGAGAGCTGGCTCTGTACTCGGTGAGCCCCCACGGGTCAGTGTTCCCCGCCCCCACCCCAACAAACGGCACAAACAATCATATTTACTGGGAAAGGCAGAGGAAAGAAGGGCTCTGAGGAGGGGAGAAAAGACAATTTCAGAGGGGGCAGGGGTGTTCTAGCTCCTTGTGAAATGTGGCATGTGTCTTGCCTGGGGATCAGGTTTTGTATACAAGTACAAGGGGGGAAAAAAGATCTAGCAAATGTGAGGCTCTGCCCTTGCATCTATTGCTAGTATGTGGATCTCGTCTGAGGGGGGGAAAAACGCCTGGAATAAATAAATACATGCAAATATTCCAGACCCTGCTTTATTTCCCTTTGTGAACCACGAAAGTCTCCATGGAGGACGCTGTTGAAACGTAGCCGAGTGTAACGTTCATCCTTTAGAAGGCAACATTTTTTTGATCTTACACCGAAGTGGAGAGAAAAGGTTTATTCCAGATAAGTTAATTTGCCATGTTTGAGCCGGGCAGGCTGTCCGAGAGAAATGCCTTTGTTGGAAGGGGGGAGGGAATAAAGGAAGAGGATTTACTCCAGTTGCTTGATGACTGTTTGTAAATACCAACTTTCCATTTAACTGATTAGCGTCATGTTTCTGGCTAACTTCTGCGCCTGTTTGCCTGCTTTCAGGTCCAGATAGGAAGCGGGGTCGCCAGACGTACACTCGCTACCAGACACTGGAGCTGGAGAAGGAATTCCACTTCAACCGCTATCTGACTCGCCGGCGGAGAATAGAGATCGCCCATGCTCTGTGCCTCACTGAGAGGCAGATCAAAATCTGGTTCCAAAACCGGAGGATGAAATGGAAGAAAGAGCATAAAGAAGAGAGCGCCAGCACCCCAGCGACCAACGAGAACACGTCAGCAGCAGCGTCTGTGGAGAAAGTGGAGGAAGAGGAGGAAGAAGACGAGTAAAAGCCCCCATTTGATGAAGCAATCTCTAGTATTATGTATGCACGTGACAGTTGTAAAAGCTCTCTTGAAAAAAGACTCACTGTTTTATTTTCAGTATTCGGTTCCCCTTAATGAACATCTTGTAACCGAGCATTTTAGAACATGAAAAGGTCCCCTCCCTTGACTTGTCTTCCAGTCCCCACCTTCCCAGAGCTCCCCTATTTCCTGCCTAACCGAATTATAATCTCGCATAAGGTCATCCTGGTCATCTTATTTTCGTTTGCCCAAACCTAGGGTGTTTTGTATGAGAACATTTGCTAGAGAGAACTACTCCTTGCACATGCAGGAAAAAAAATCACTTTCAGCGTAACTACCTGACTCAATTAGTCCCAATCAGTTGTGCAGGGGAAAGTGCATTAGGATCACGTAAAAAAACTACCTAACTTAGAATAAATAGTTCTGCACTTCCTGTTTGCTTTTATTTAAATAGGTCAAAACAAACAGACAGCATTAAACAGCAAGTGGAAAAAAAAAACCCTGCAAAAAATAATGAAACAGAAACCACTACATCCTGCAATTATTTGTACTACCTATCTTCCAGACTACCTATTTCTTGTTCCGCCTACCTATCTTCTACGCTATACTGTATTTTATTAATCAAAAGAAAATAACATACTAATGTGAATTGTAGAATGCTTTTAGTAACGTAAGTGTAGTCCTTTGAAAAGTACGCATCAATAGCTTTGGTATATAATTTGGTACCGAAAATGCTAAATATATTTAAATTGAAAAATAATATATTTATTCCAAAGCAATTATAAATGAAAACCATATGCTGCAGTATATCTTTCTTCTCAGTCCTTTACTATTCCGAGTGGAGAAGAAAACACATGCTAATATTGTACAAAGCGCTTTAATAGCTTCTGTTGGCTTCTACCTTTTGAAGTACACTGTTACAGGCCGGTTTGTTTTCTAAGCTCATCCTACTTAAAATAGCGGAAACTGTTTCTTTAAAAACTGAATTAAGACGACTATGTTAGCGCCTCTCAAAAATCTTTTTGTCCTGATTTCGGAATGTGTTAATATGTAATACCGTGATTTTTCCTACAATAGCAAATACTGTATATTTAAACGATTTTTTTTGTCATTGATATTGTCTTGAAATCATTTGTAAGATCACGTCATAAACTGAGAAGTCTGTAATTAAATTGGTATCTTGGTAGCATGATGTCTTGTTAAGATTTCTGTATAAATCCTTCATGGAGGTTTGGCTAAAGTTTATTCATAAATTGTACGTTACAATGTGTTTCGATGTGTTCATTGTGAACATTTGAATATACCGTGTAAGTATTGGCAGTGGAGGACAAAAATGTATGTTCACTCTCTTTGGAAGTGATACCGTGTTCAAATATCTCCCACAATAAATGTGTTTTATGTTACACAGAAAATAAATATGCTTGTTGACAATGAATTGTGTTTCTTTATTAAGGAGCAGTTCAAAGGAAGCATAAAACTGACATGGCCAAGTAAAGAAATAAGATCAAATATGTAATTTTCATTTGCACTCAAAACCAAAAATTCATAGGCGATGGATTGACAGGACTCAGTCAGTTTCGCTAACTAGCGTTTTCACCTGGGTTGATTAATTAAGCAGAGAGCACTCCTGAAGCGAGAGACTCCTATGTGCTTCGGTGAAATTTTAAAAGCACAGTAGACATGAAACCTGCCTATACGCCGGCGGAAATCCGCATTAGCGAAATAATACTTGATTGTAGACGCGAGCTGCAATGCGAAAGTTCCAAGTGTTGAAGCTGTAGTCAGGTGTGTGTTTGCGTGTCAGTCATAGTAGGAGACAATAGAAAAAAATATAAAATAAAAACATATAATTAAACCCACCCGTCTATATGTCAAAAAAAAAATCTCCCTGCCTATTATTAGAAAACGAAAAGCAGGTACCGCATTTTAATATCAAATTTTAAAAGATTATACATGAAAGTCTCGTTGGAAGGAAGGAAAAAGATAGAGATAATGATTCCCTTCTCTGCAGACTAGTTCCCTACCTCTGCGGTGTGGCAAATGTTCTAATTGCAATTTTAATAGAATTAGATCAAACTCTAGGTCTTTTAAAACTCTAGGGCTGCCTCTCTGGTAAGATGGCGCCTCTCTAAGACCTGCCTCTTCTTAGTGATGAGGAAAAGGCCATAAATCCGTTGTTGTTTATGAAAATTTACAACTTTGCAATACAACTTTATGAGTTGCTCGGTTTTTCCATTGGTCGCTGTCGGTCATGTGGATGGTAACCGTGAACATGAACTTTTTTATAATTTCCCTTGCGAGAATAGAGCTGCATTCTTTAGCTCAGCTCTGTCCTGCTTCGGATCTCTCTGGCTTTCAATCCCCCATTTCATTTGTTCTTTGTAAGGCAATAGTGAACCAAGTGTATGGAGGTTCAGCATAAGCAGCCGCCTAGAACACAGACCCTGGATGGCAATTTCCAATTCCTCCGCTGGAAGGTGTGGCATATTGGATTCAAAGCACTGGAGTGGCAGATTTTCAACTTGCAACCTGGCTAATTTCCTGCTTCTTCTGGCACCAAAAGGAGGGCGATTCGTCTCCTGTGCAGCCAAAGCGACAGCTGTCAAAGTAGCAGGGGCTCTGCGAGCCAGAACCTAAAGGTGAGAAATGTATATAACAGTATCTTAAGCAGGGTAACATTATTTTAATATCCATATATGCATTTATGATACCCGCATATGTAATATATGTATGTATATATTATACATGGAATGATACCAGTTGAAGAATTACCAACCTATTATTTAGCTTGTTTAAATTTAGACAATGCATGCAACAATACAAGTGTTTATTATTTAGCAAGCCTGACGTGTAATTTTAATAAAGGAGATTTAAAAGATTGCTATCACATTCACCTTCGGATTATTTTTATTTTTATTATTATTTATTTATTATTTCTTTTATCACTCGGATTTATCAAATTAGGTGGAGATAATTTGCTCAAGAAAACTATTTTCATTTTGTTTCCCAGTATTTGCAAATTCATTCGTGTTAACGGCAATTTAAGATGTTTGGAAATGCACTTACAATTTCAGACAGAGACCAACCGGCATAATATCTTCTCGTTCCATAAAATGTCTAGGAGAGAGAGAGAGGGAGAAAGAGAGCGAGAGAGGGGGGATATTTCTGGAACAGTAGAATAGGAGAAATGTGTGCATAGGTTGCTTTAGCAGATAAATCACTTGTATACAGTATAATTGTGTCACGTCATTGTGTTGCGCGGAGCTTGAACAATATTACAGACATTTTTCTAAATACGTCGCTTCTGGAGTAATTCTATCTAAAGCTGGATTTTAAGCCATCCGTCCTACACCAGATGCTGAAATGGAGCTTTTTCGATGTCAGTGGAAGCAAATAAGAGGTACAAGGGTCGATTTAGTTATAGTTTTGAAAAATGGAACACGGGGCGGGTGGGGGGAAGGAAACCGAGCTGGGCACAAGGGGTTTTAGCACGGCATGGGCATCAGAACGTGGCTTTCACCGATCTGGCGTTGCTTCCTATGTTTGTGTGCTGGAAACCGCGGCATTGGTTCAGGGTTCTGCTTCTGTGATATCTCGATATTCATTACAGTAATTAAAAATGAGCTGCGAGCGCTTTAAATGCTAACGGCGGCGTTGTTTGTGTTCTCCGGGCTGATAAAGAATTACATTTGCATTGCATTGCAGTAGCTGCGTGGCTGCAACTGCAGTGAGTGTCGGGTTATTTATGGCGGAGCGACAGGCTCTCAGTGCTGCCACTGTGTGGCGGAAACAAGGCGATCCAAAGGCAGCAGCAAGCAAGAGGCGAATTGTCTGCAATCCTCTTGGAGAAATCCTAACAAAATTCGGCCTACCTAGGGACCCCAGTCACTCTCCACCCCGGACGGGCTAATTCTACAGGGCGGGGCTTCGTGTGGTTTTGGTTTGTTTTGTTTTTAAACTTGTGTTGTGCGTCGAAAGCAAAATGTCACCGTGTGAACTAGTTTGAAGGGGGGTAAGATCGAGGCTGCCCAATGACACTACTCCTACCAGTTCAATCTAAACAGTGGTTTGGAGGGCAAAAATTGTTTGGATTATAGGCTATCTGTTAAAGGTTGTTTTCTGTTGGCGCTATGAACATATGTAAGCGGATTCAGAAGGGGGCTTTTAAGTCGAAGTGGGTAACTGCTCCCTGCACCTGTACTCCAGCGTTGGTTGAATTATGGAGTCTGTGAAAGAAAGAAAGAAAGAAAGAAAGAAAAACAAAGAAAAACAATCCGCGTCTTGTTAAAGTTCTAATCAGGTTTTTTCAACTGCGTGCTGACATTTAAAAAAATAATTTAAAGCATACGGAAGGCGCAGGTCTGCTCACTTTGTTACAATTACAGAAGTGCAATTGGGAACTTTTAAATATTCACTTTTCCAAAATAAGTGTTCTAAATAGCTGCCATTAAACCTGTGTGACTCGGAGCACTCCCGCTTAAAGCTTTGTTGTGGCGGGGTGTTTTGATTTTGTTTTTGTTTTGTTTTTTGCATATTGAATATAACTAAAACCACGATGGCCATGCAAATTGTGTAGCTGCTGCTGAGACAAGCCTTAACCATAACAAACGTGTACTTTCATTTACTTTGCGGTTTACTACGGCGGAAGCAGCTACGAAATGTTTTCATTTACTATGCTGAGACATTAGAGATTCTGACTTTGGCTGGAACAAGAATCTCCGATTAAGATTCCTGTGCAAATCATTTCCTCTCCCTTAAAAAAAAAAAGAGATAATAACCAATGTGAAACCGACATAATAAAATTTAAATATTTATCAACCTCTCATTTTTTCCTGATGGATCCAATGCGTCTTCAAAGAAGAGCCCTCACGAGCGCAACTTTTTAAAAGAAGTATGGAGTTAGATTTTTGTGTATTCCCCGAATCTGATTTTCATGGCACGTTTCCGGTCTAGTCTCTGCTAAACATTTTCACATAAAAAAAACCCCCCTCAACAACCCCTCATTTGTATTCACCGTTTCTCCTCCGCACACATAGTGCAAATTCATCCGGATACGGATTCTTTTCAGTAGACACCCATAATGTTCAGCTGTTCTCTCAAAGCATATACTGTTTATTCGACCAGATGTGTATATAGATTAGCCCCGGAGCACAGAATAGGGGGGGAAATAAAAATGGAAGGTAATCAACATCTCAGTGTGAAAGTCCAACGGAGAACGCTAACAATACCAACTATTGTGGAGAGATGTTTTAACTCGCCACTGTTTTATAGGTACCGTAATCATCCTCCGGAAATGAGGAACGGAACCTTCCCACAACAGCACAACTCACGTCTCCAAAGCTGGTTTAGGTGTTATCGGAAACAGAACTGGTGCAAATGTCTCTTTAAACATCGGCTCTTCAGTCTGTGGTCATAGGCACGGATTAGGAATTTGGAAGGAAGCATCTTGTTATTTTTAGGAACTGCTGGAGTAGGCGGAATTTAAAGCATCTCTGTGAATTCCAGCCGCGCTGCTACCGCGTCTGCCCTGGGCCCAGGACTGTAGGTCCGCCCTGGGATCAGTGCCAAGTTGCACAGTACACGTTAAGATGTTTGTTACAACCGCAGTGGGTAATTAACTGATTAAAAACAGCAGCGAATCCGTTTTGCCTCTGCAGGCACGTTAGGGTGGCTGTGTTCGGTCGGTATCACTCTACCGGAGTAATGTAAACATCTTCGTTTTAGACACAGCGAAATGCGCGTTTGGTGGGTAAAAACAAACACACACGTGTAACTTTTATCTGAACTCCGCTTCTCCGGAAGCGCTGGCAGCCTGTTTTCCAACCCCTGCCAGTGACTCCTTTGGAAACACGCATCCAAATAAATCAATCCATGGTGGAGGCCACCATTTCCTGTCCGGTCCCCAATCTCCCCTTAAATTGTCTGACTGTCCCTGAATACAAGAGCTTGCCTTCAATAAACTACGTCGAATATGGCTTCATCTAGACCCGGCCACAAAGGCTGCCTTCTGACCTGGGGCGAGGATGCTTGGTGCTTGGAAGGGAAATATTCATTTGGGCTTTCAGTAGGTTTGGTCGAATAACATGTTTTTTTCTTTGCGCTGTGTTAAAAAACCAGCTGTTTGTTGACACAGTCGGCCAGCCCCTCTCCGCTCAGACGCCATCGCTGATTCCCCTTCCACCGGGTTGAATTGCTCCAAAGTTTTCAGTTCTCACATCAATCATCCGCTACCTTGCGTACAGAACTATAGAAACTAGAGGGGAGCTCAACCTTCCGGGGTGGGGAACCAGGTGTGATGATTTGCATATCTTCCAGAGGGGAGACCCTAACTTTGGAGAGCTACCCCTCCCCCATCCCCCGCAGCTGCCACAGGGCACTGCCCTGGGGGCGTTCACAGCCGCGCTGCCGCACCTTCCTCCCTCGCCGTTTCTTTTTTTGACAGCAACACCCCTCGTCCTCCCCCCTCCTCCCCACCACGTCCCACTTCCCATGTTCCCTCAGCCACGTTAAAGGTGGGGTGTGCGCGTGTGAGGGGATGGGGCTCCACATTGCTCTCCCATTGGCCGCCGAGCCGTCAGCTGGTGCTATTTGCTGCTGTCGCTTTTGGCGCTCGGCCATCCAGAAACAAACCAGTTCGATGACTACTAATAGTTATAGCCAGATGTACTAATACACAACAAATCACAGTCCTGCAGAGGGGAGAGCAAATGAGTTCCTATTTTGTGAATCCCACTTTCCCTGGGAGCCTGCCTAATGGCCAGGACTCTTTCCTCGGGCAAATCCCCCTTTATCCAGCTGGCTATGATGCTCTGAGGCATTTCCCAGCTTCGTATGGGGCAACAAGCCTCCAGGACAAGACCTACACCTCACCTTGTTTTTACCAACAGTCCAACACGGTCATTGCTTGCAATCGGGCATCCTATGAGTATGGAGCCTCGTGTTTTTACTCTGAAAAGGACATAAGTAGCGCCTCTCCCTCCGGCAGTGGCAAGCAGAGGGGACACGGGGACTATCTGCACTTTTCTCCTGATCAACCTTACAAATCCGACAGTGTGCAAAGCAAAATTTTAAATGAGGAAGGCACCGACCGGAAGTACACGAGCCCTGTTTATCCCTGGATGCAGCGGATGAACTCCTGCGCTGGTAAGTCATTTGAATGCAATAGACAGAGAGAGAGAGGGAGAGAGAGAGAGAGAGAGGAAAAAAAGTTTCTTTGAAAAAGTCTTTCCAAAAGCGCGTCCAAACTGTCGGAGAGGAATGACTCCTGCGAGGTAATGTGTAACACGAAACCTTTCCAGGTTGTCTTAGCCCTGGCCCGTTGGCAACCTTAGGGCAGTTTGTCGGAACAAACTGCTCCCAACTTGGGTGACTTGGTGCAGTCCCTGAGTCATAACTGAACAATAGGTATGAACAAATTACTAGCAACAACCAGCCCTCCCCAAAGAAACCGCTTCTCCGCTCCTCGAATGTCAAAGACTGATGTAAGGAATATGCCCCCTGTGCTGCCTACCTCCATTTATTTGTAGGACCCTCCCAAGCCCATTCGTATACAAATATTGGCTATTGAGGGCACGTTTTTCGGACAATGTGTGCACATTTGCAAATCATCTCCAATTTTGTCTCACTTAAAGTGAAGTATACAGAACAGGACTGTTTGGAAAGGGAGCAAAAGGCACTTTGTTTTGAGTAAGCACACTTTCTTCAACTGGTTAAAAAAAAAAACCCTTTCCCTCACCGTCCCCCAGGGTTATATTTTGCAAGTTCTGATTATGATTTATCGTGACGTGAAAAGTTTAACTTTTAAAGACATTTCTTATTTCGAAGGGCCCTTTTGCATGTGAGTGCACTATCTTCAGAAGCAAATTCTGATTGTGGGGCACTGTTCTAGGAGCTTTAATTACGATCACAGTTAATTACAGCTCTACTATAGTTGGAGAAACTGTTATAGTTTTATACAGATGCACACAGATTTGTATTTCTCACATAGGTACAGCTCTGTGTACATATATATGTACACGTTTAAATATTTCTCGTTGCTTGGGTAAATATTTTCCCCAATAAATATCTGTATATCAGAATTATACCTTCAATTGTGATAATGATTTAGAAACATTTTATCAGGGAAATCAGAGCAGACACCTCTTATGTGATCGTCTCTGCAAGAGAAGGCGCAGTGTAACTGACCACTGTTTCTTGGGAACCCTGGGCCTTGTTCAATGCGATAATTTTGTCTTTACTTCTGCAGGTACAGTGTATGGAACACATGGGAGACGGGGGAGGCAAACTTACACCAGATACCAAACGCTAGAGTTAGAAAAGGAATTTCATTTTAACAGATACTTAACCAGAAGACGACGGATTGAGATTGCAAACGCTCTCTGCCTTACTGAACGACAAATTAAAATATGGTTTCAAAACAGGCGGATGAAATGGAAAAAGGAAAACAAACTCATAAATTCCACACAGCCCAGCAGCGAAGAAACAGAGGAAAAGTCAGGGGAGTAGAATAATGCTTAATAAAAGTTACCAGGCCTTTCCTTTTTAGCGTTTTTTTCTTGTATTCCTTCTGCTACTAAAATCCTATAGGTTTTTCACAGTCTGTTGACTCCCAAAGGCTTTGATTAAATATATACATTTGCAACCAACTGTGAATTTATTTAAAAATAGAAGTATTTGATTTAGAGCTGTGTAGTGTATCTGGCCACGTTTTCAAAGTCTAGATAACCTTGCTTAAAATATTTCAGAAAAAAACAGATTATAGATATTTTAAATCCAGCACCTATGTGTGTATGAATGTCTCGGATATGACCGTATGGCTGTAGGCAGCATATAAGTGAGTAGCTTTTTGTAATTGGAAACGTTCATATTGTGGAATTACTCCTGATTTAGAAATCCTGCTTTGATGTTTTTACAAATCCAGGGCGAATTGTTCAGTTTTGTTTGGGATCTTTTGGTCTCTAGAAAAAAAAAAAGGTTTTGCATGCGTATAAGCTATTTAATTAGCACCAAGAAGGCAACGGGTTTTTAAATATCGAGTTCGAAAACCAGACTATTCACTGCCATTGAAATCGAGAATGAATCGCGAGGAGATTTTAAAATCCCCAGAGCTGACTCCGCTAAATTGGACTAACTCTGCGCTAGAATTAAAGGGAAAAGCCCCATAATGCGTTAAACTTTAGAAAAGGGAAAGAAAAGATTTTGAGGCGCACAGATTTCGGAGGCTTCTGATGATAGTGAAGAACGCTTGCACTGAGCAACGAGGGAGGGAGGTTAATCATGCAGTACATTTGTGGTAGTTTTTAAAAATTAAAAATCAATGGTCTGTCATGTTAAATCGTGGCTGTTCTTTCTGTCTGTATTTACTTTCGAAATTCCGAGCCCAGAAGACTCCCCCTTAGGTAGAGACTAGCTTCGGAAATGATTCCATGTCCAGGTCTCTTTCCTTGACTAAAATACTGGCAGTGAAAATATTTACTAACAGATACGTGTACGTGTGTGTGGATGTGTGTACAGTACACAACAAAGACCCCTTTCTTCGGTAGAAGCAAGTTGAGCCGCCGCTCTGAATAGTCCCAAACCTCGAAAATATTGATGTCAAAGGACTGTCACAGCATTGTATTTATCTGACAAAAAGACCCCGGCCAGAAAACGATATAGAATTTGACCCCACTTGAAATAATGCTAGGCGGCATTTATTTTTAGTAGGTAGCTGCCATGTAAAACCGAACAGCTTTTCTGAAGCGCCTGCAAAATCTGTAAACGCCTATAATTGTTGCCAGGGTGCGAGGATTTAGATTTTTCAATGAATTTTAAAATAAGCATCCCCCTAAAAAAAGGAGATCGAAGTTATTTCTGTTTTTACAAATCTATAGTA